TGAACGATTGAAAGAGGAAAAAATAAATGAATTGAATTGAATTGAATTGAACTAGCCCTAAACCTTAAGCCTTAAACTCAGTTGCAGTCCTCAATCTAACCCTATACTTTGAGGCAAAATAAAGCCAAGAGCAAATTTTGGATCACCCAAAAGTAGACCAGGTGTGATGGAGGAAGGTGAAGGACCAGGTGATGCGGTCCCGGGAACACATCCTGCTCCTCATAAATCATCCATCTCATTAAACTTGACCCTTTCTACCAGACCACTGAACAACAAACCATTCCCTCAAGTACCCTAAGTATCAAAGCAACTCCTCCTTTTAAACTTTAACAAGATTGATTAGAACTTGTTGAGATGAATTACAATCTTCATAAAGTATAACTCCGCATTGTTTACATTTTATGAGTGAAATTAAGTTTGTTTCTCTCAACTAATATTGTTCTAATATTTGTTCCAAGTACATCATCAAAGTAAACTCCTCCTTTTAAACCTTAATAAGATTGAAAAAACTTGTTGAGATGAAGTACTATCTTGAGGTCTGTGTCTTCCCATTGTTTACATTTTATGAGTGGAAAACAATTGTTTTTGTGTATGTGTACCTTCAAGAGTACTTTGAGTATGACAAAGGGTGGTATGTGGTAGTCAGGATTGATAAAAGGATTGAAGATCTAGAGGCAATGTTCAAATCAACAATATAAAGAATAAACATTCATTTCTCTTTGAAGTTTGAGTAACATTGGCATTTGTGGTCAATTACACAAACCTTCCCATCTCCTAAATTACACATTTTAATATCCATCTACATGTATGTACTGGAGTGAAAGCATGCAGTCCTATGGTCTCTTAGACCCCGTTCTCACTCACTTTGAAAGTGGTCTTAGTTAGACCGCTCCAGAGGAACGGGTCTTGAGGAACGGTTTGCGAGCGTACACACTCCGAGCAGTTTTTAATGGCTCAAACCGCTCCACGAGTCAAAGTGGTCTTGTTGCTATGGCAGCTCAGGTCAGCAGATCAATTTTTTTCGCGCGCGGAATACAAACCGTATGTACCATACTACATGTTTCGCACCGAAGGTCACTAGCTCACTTCCGTTCAAAGTACGCTCTCCGTTCACATTGCACGTTAGAGCGCTCCAAACCGCTCTTAATAAGACCCGCTCCTCAAGACCACCTCAGAAGGTGGTCTTCTGGAGCGGTCCAGAAGTCCACTTCCTGGACCACTTTGACCGTTCTCACTCACCTAAGAACCGCTCCTGAGGAACGGGTCTTAGTTAGAGCGCTCCAACGAAGTGATTGGGAACGGGGTCTTACAGCGTGATATCATAATCACAAAAAGAGATAACTTTTGTCTGTGAGTTGTTAGGTGTTTTGCAAAACAGTTATTGTATGATCTCTATTTTCATATAACAATAACAAATTTCTGCACTTTTTTTGTCTACCATACACACTTCTTATGCTCCTGCTCTATAACTTTTAGAATAAATCATCAAGGACATCATGTCTTTGAGATTATTGTCATTTGAAATTGCAGTTAGAAAAAACCAAAAGAACAAGAACCTTTGTGATCACAGAAAGCCCCCCCCCCTCCCCACTCCTTCTCACTCATCAGTGCTCCCTGAGTCCCCCTTGGATAGTAGCTTGTAACAAATGAAGGAAGTTGTTACAGCTGAAGTTTCAAGGGAAATGGCTGTACATTCTATGTCTGTCCCCCATCATTTATGTCCCAAAACCTCAACTTCTCAAGAAAAAAAAAGTACAGTCAAGGAGAGAGAATTATTTATGGCATTGTAACTCTTGCTACTGTACTCCAGTGCGCCACCGGTACTAAAAGAAAGATAATTTGGGCGGAGTTGGGGATTACTGGGGAGCAGGGCCGTGGGGACTCTGGAAATTTTGGCAGGGTGCTGATATAGTGGGGTTGTTTAGCCATTGTACGTGTGTCTGAGCCGGTTTAGGGACACAAGACCGTAGTTTGATCCAGGTTCTCCTGAGTAGAATTCACACCTGTTGACATGTTTTTAAGAGCCAGAAGAGAAGGACATGTTTATGACCACCTCTGTAGTGTTGTGTGTCTTGCTCCGATATGGGGTCACCCCCCCCCCCCCCAAACTAAACTGCCCCTCCATCATTGTCAACTTTTGTATTTCTTTTGTAGGGGATAGAAAATTGTAACACTGTTTGTTTTTCATGCACTGAAGATACATTAACTAACATCCATCCAAGTCAGATTTTCAACCTCGCTCTCACATATCCTTTTTTGATGATTATAGTCGCTGTACTATTGTATGCAAAGTGGACTCCATCCACAGTAATGCCATTGTTCATAGCAGTACTGGTGAATGAAATGTCTGGGTAACCAGGGGTCGGGAGAGAAACATGCATAATTTGAAATGCATCAGTAAACTAGTCTATTTTAAGAATGCAGTTTGCTTCCATCAGTAATTTGCTATGTCAGGCAAGCCCTGATAAGCTTTTGGGCCATTCTTAGCAACCATTGTTGTAGAGACATGCAGGGAATTTGAATACATTTGTGCAGTGGTTGACATCGCTATGCACATACCTTCTACGTCAGTTCTGATTTAAAAGAACAAGTGTGATGGCTCTTTCAAAGTGTACCAATTAATCTCCAAACAGATTTTGTTCTCTATGTTAGGGGCATCATCTGGTTATACTAAATGCAAAATATGAGCTTTGCATGAACTTCTACATGCGTAAAGAGATGCTGCGAGTTTAAATACACTCTCAAAGAACATACAAAAACTTGTGAGTGGACCACGGGATGCGCTTGGAGAGAATAGGACCTGTATGAAACCCAAGTCGGACTTCCACATACTTCTTGTCCATTGGCTTGGAGATGTAGAACTTGGTAAACAAAAATTGAGGTTGATTTCATACATTCTGAATCTTCCAACAAATGACCATTATGAATGTGAAAGTGATGTTTTTCTTATGGTTTTATGTGCATTTCTGTGCAACTTTTAACTTCTCATCAGAACCAACGTTTCATAATTTAATGTTTTCATTTCATTTTTTCTTTTTAAAAAAATTTAAAATTCCATTATCATGATTTATGCTCATGGTAAAGTTAGTCATGACATGATGATGCTGCTATATTTGCTGAGAACCTTCCCTTTGAATTATTAAAGCAGTCTTTCATTTTACTTTTCAATAATTGGAACCAATGCTCATCATGAAAAAAAAAACTCTGCATACTCCTAGCAGTATGTTTTCAATTTGTAACCAGCACAACTCCCTCACAGGCATCTGATCATTGCAAGAGAGAAAAATTACAAGAGCACGTGATATGGACTGACATGTTGTTCAATGTTAGAAGGCCCCTGGCATACCAGAGCACATATCTGTCATTAAAAACTTTATTGCAAGTAATATGCCCCATAAAAACTTCCACAAATCATTTATGAGGCGGAAACAGCAGCTCGGAATTGGAGGTTATTGAAAAAATAAACTCACTTCTGTAGTTCTTTGTCATTGTACTGTTGTTATATTTGTAGGTAGTTAAGATACATGCTAATAATGGGAGTTGTATACCTTGTATTGTTTTTAAAAGGAGCAGTTAATTATGCTCGATTTTATTCATAGAGAATCGTGCATTTTGCATGCTTTTTTAAACAAATAAAATCACAGAAAAATATTTCTGCTGTTCCTTAGATGTATGCGAGTGAAATATTTGATATACTTTTATCATTTGAAGAAATGGGAGGAGGAAAAAAAATCAAAGTAATAAAATGTGGCAAAAAGGATTGTATAATCTGTCGGATACACGCTATGAAAACAATTAAAGGCCTTCACCAGAGTTTGATCGCTTTAGTTCAAGTATAGCATTTTATGTCGATTGTAAAGTGCGATATGAAGGAGATTCAAAATATTGCTACTTTTTAACGAGCGCATTAAAAGCACATAATTCATACTTGGCCTCTCTCTGCACCAAGTTATGTGCTGGCAGGTTTATATTACTGTTTATCAGAGTCTGTCCTGAATATTGTTCAATATTTTCTATCGTAGTCTTATCTAGAGATGATGGAATAGGCTAGGGATTGTCACTTTCCTTCCGGGAACAAAATGGTGGTGTAATTAGAAAGGTTATGGAAGAATTGATAAAGAGTTAAAAGATTCATAGCAAGATCTTTGGTAGATGTGTAATTGGCTGATTCTGTAAATAATTGATTAAGATAAGCAAAAGTGATTGAATTCTTTATTGCACTGTTGTATTTCTCTTTGTTCTAATCAGATTGAGTTAAATTTAAATTAATCTGTAAACACTAAATGATCTTTTACTTGAATACCAGTATCAACTATTAACATAGGTGACATGGCAGTGTAGTAAAAGTGTTTTACTAGGTTGTGAACTTCTTGATCACAACTTTTCTGATTCATTTAGGCCTACTGCAAGAGACAATTTTAAGAAAATGCCTGATATATTTGACATAGTCGCATTTTCAATAGAAATATGTTAGTATTACAAGAAGTACCGAAATTCCATTGATGTTAATTCTTTGTATTTATTTAGATGGTAGTTGAAAGGTTCAATTCTGTATGAATTCTGGGAGCACTATATTTTATTTGTCTCCTAAAATACTCTCAACAAAGATCTTTTTAATTTTGACTTGGCCTCTTCTTCTTCTCAGTGAACATTGTTTAACTGACATTTTCTTAGCCTGCTTTGTAGAATGTTAGAAACTGTTTCCAATGCCATTTTCCGAGGACCCTCTGCATAAATCCCTTCCTCCCTCATGGAATCTTAACGTGCCACATGAAGGCCAAAGACATCTTGCTACATTTTAATCAGGCAATTAACGCCTTATAATGGCTGCCTTATGACCTCAAGTGTGAGGGCCATGTGCTAGCAGGTTTATGTTACTGTTTGTGTGGAGGTACACTTCTTATATCCCAGTTATTCCACTTTTTTCTTTTATAACACCTAAAGTATATTTATTATGACCTAATAAAGGTAACTGCACTTTTTATGACATCCTTTTGATAATGTGCACCTTGAGTCATGTTAACTTGAATGTTATCCTTTCTTCTGTATCATTTCAGTCTGCTCTACACTGGGGAGCCAAGCATGGAAAGAAAGAAATGATCAGACTGGTGGTGGATAGAGGGATTGATGTCAACTTGAGATCGGTAAGGAATGAAGAACAAAACATTCAATCGCAAAGACTTCCTAAAAATTAACCGAAGGCTATTTCAGTAGCCTTGTCCATCACCGATTGAAATGTGCGAACATTGCAATAATGTTTTACACAATAAGATCCAAAAAGGATTTCAGTACTGCAGTTCGATATCGAAATTGCTCTTGAGTTTATTTTACTGAAGTCTTTTTGATGGTGTTAGAAAAAATTCTGGAAGTTGATGTGTTAGTGGACTGGAGATAATTGACAATAGATGCAGAAGTGTTGAGTCTGAGACCTAACTCAACTCTTGCGTCTATAAACGAGTGTATTTTTCTTCCATATTGCCTTTTTTCTATCCTGGTTTACAATTTTTTGAAAGACACCTCAATCTGTTGTTTTTTTATGATAGCAGAGACAGGTTAATTAATGTTTTATTAAAGTTCCACATGCAATGAGAAAATAATGAACTGGTGTAGTCATCCATGGGCTGTAGAAATTCAGGTGAGAACTCCAAGAAAGAAAGAAGGAAGGGGGAGAAGGAAGGGGGAGAAGGGAGGGAAAGAAAGAGGAGAGGGGGGAAGGATGCATTAAATGTAGAAAGAGGGAAGAGAGAGAGAGAGAGAGAGAGAGAGAGAGAGAGAGAGAGAGAGAGAGAGAAGGGGCAGGAGAGGAGGAAAGAGTGGATTAAATGTAGGGAGAGAGAGAGAGAGAAAGAAAGAAAGAAAGAAAGAAAGAAAGAAAGAAAGAAAGAAAGAAAGAAAGAAAGAAAGAAAGAAAAAAAGAAGGGGGAGAAGGGAGGGAACAAGGATTAAATGTAGAATGAGGAGAGAGAGAGAGAGACAGTATGAAAGAGAGAGAGTGGAAAAAAGGGGGGGGGGGCTGGGGGAGAGCGAGAGAAAGAAACAAGCCATTGATAGATGACAAGCAAAGGTCTTGGCAAGCTTTGAGTTAGTAATAAGTAAGGGTTATTAATTACTACAAGATGTTTGTATGGAATGACAATAATGCCATGTTGTGAACCAGTATTGATGAAGGGAAGGGAGCATGAATCAGGCCAGGGGCAAGTACCTTGTAGTGGGGCTGATTTATGAAGGGGGTCTGGGGGCTGTGTAATCCATCCCTAAGATTGCTAAATCAAATCACGATTAGGTGGCACTCAAAGCCTAGTCTACTCATTCGAACCATGTTCATGTTGAAGTTCCACTCTTGGAAGATGTATATCAAGATTTTACAATGGTCAATTATAATGAAACAACAACTGTATAGTACGTTTACGGTCTTCACAAATTAAAAATCATCACAATTAGCCTTTTCGTGAAAGGCATTTCCCACCTCTACGAAACATGGGTCTCAACACTTTTTTTGGAATAATTTTATGAATGATATTGGAACTCATCATTTTTTATTTACATCTGCAAGAATAAGTTTGTTGGAAAACAGTTTTGTCTTCAGAAAAATCACCAACAAAGAAGCCAGTAAATCAGTTTGTAAGACCAATTACTTTATTACATCAGATTATCAATTCAATAAATTAGTGTTGATGCATGAAACTTGAGCTTCATTCAAAGAAGATCCAAGTGTCTGGAGAAAGAAAACTAGATCTTGCATAGCAGAAAAGGAAATGCAAGCTCAACATAGAGCAATTACACATACCAGAAATAACATAACCCAAACAATGATGCCATTCAGGCTCAGCTGTTAGAAACCTCTATTTCTTTCTTGAAGCACTGGTAAAGCTATCATGTCAAATTATTTGAGATATTATTTACACAAAATTGTTTCATGTTCATGTATAGTATGCACTTTGGAATAAATTAGGCATTGATGACCAAGTTCTTTTTAATAAATCTTCTTCATTACAAATGGAGAAAAGTAGCATATCATGTATAAGGGATAGAGCAACGTCGATCTGGCGCTGCTCAGTGGCTGCCGGGCTCACGATCAATTGGGCAAAAAGAATTTCCGTTTCGGTTTAATAAAATTTGGAGTGGACTATTAGGCTATTATTATTATTATTATTATTATGTAATCAAGAGTAAATTGCAAGATTTGAAACCTCTTGCCTGAAAACAAATTTTACTTGTGTGAGTGAGTGAAACAAGGGATCACATTTTGTTTAGTGTGGAAATGTTGATTAGTCCTCAAACTGTAATAAGTAAGACATGGAAATTACAAATAGAACACCTCGCTGCTGAAATAGAGATCAGATGGTGGTTGCCCCAAAATTGCTAATTTCTATTGTTTGGGGGCTGCATGTAGCCCCTTCCTCTCTCCAGAATGCCTAGGAAGACGATGTTATTTCAATTTCTGTACTATGTACTTTGAGAAGATTATTTTGTGAAGGAGTCTCTTTTAAACTAGATTTGAAATCTGTACTTCTTTAATTGATTTATTTCATGCTGAAAAGAGCTTCAAAGTGGTCGAAATTGGAACCACGAAGTAGATGCATAAATTATCTGGAAATTTTAAAATTGAAGGAGATTGAAGTAATAATATATCAGGATGAGAATGACAGGGGAGGATTTGTAGAGTATGTTAAAAGCAGACATTATAGCTCACAGACATCCTTGTGGTGGAGGCAAGCAAGCAGTTAACCCATTGATTCATGTCTTTCAATCATGTCCAACTATGTCCATATTAAACATACCACAATAAAAACAGGCATGTTATGGGCCTGTACTCCTGCTCCATGCGTACCCCTATCGGCCCTGTTTTCACTAGGCCTTTGGTTGCATACAACGACATGTACTCCTGCAGCAATCGCTCCATAGTCTGTATCCTACAACAGCCAGGGACATAAGCATGAGAGGTCTATAAGTTCCCGGACATCCAATAGAAATGCTTTAAATTCTACAACACATAATTCTTTGGGATGCCCAAGAAGTTAGACTTATGTCAGTTATGAGAAATTACCCCCAAGTTCTTAAATTCAACCCTAGACCGAGCATTAAAACAAATAACCATAATCCTAAACCTAACTTGTCCTCTCAATCTGGAATAAACAGGAATTGTTGTTAAATTTCTTTGACGTCTAAATGAATATATTGTCTGTGTGAAGCTAGATACACTGAAGATAATACTTTCACTGAGTTAATGTCTTTCTGGCTCTGAGAAGACAACAAATCAATCCTGAATTATTGTTTAGGTATATTTTAGGAAATTTTGAGCAGGAATAACTTTATTACCCAAAGTTTTGGTCTAGTGTAAACACTGACTCTTAACTGGGGAGAAGAATATCTGATTTATTGTCAGCATGAGTTCATGTCAGGACTCTAAGAAAACTTTATCTAAATTTGAGTGTCCTTGTCAATGGAGTGCTTGGACAATCACAGTTAGTGCAAGTTTAGAAGGTACATTGTACATACTCTGAATGATGTGATTTATCACAAGATGGAAGGAGTTGGATGGGTAAGTTTAAAGAGAGGATATCATATGATGATATTGTATAATATAAATCAAGAAAAATGACCCCTTAACTATTAGTAACAACATCCCATCATATTGTTGGTATTTTGTTTTCATTTACCCTAAATTCTTTAAGCAATACAGAGGTCTTTATGAAAGAAAAAAATACAGTGTATGTTTGTGTTTTGGATTTGAAAAAGTGTCCCTCGTCATTTTCCCTGTTGGTGCGTTAATGACATTAAAAAATACATGTCTAAAGGAACTGATTTGCTTCATATTTTGCTTGTTATTGTTTATATCATCAGTCTGGTAGGAGAGAGTGGCCTGGTGCATTGGGCTTCTGTATACTATAAATTGAAGATTTGTAATTACACAATGCTTTCATGGCTGAAGAGAAAGTGTGCAATTTTCATCAAACTCAAATACTGGTCAGAATTATTTTTCACGTTTATATAACATCCTTTACTCTTCTAAATTTGAGACACTTCTTGATAATCATATTTTTTTTAGCAAATGGACTGTGGCTGTTTTGTATTTGGTAATGATGTTGATGCAGTGAAATCACAAATATGCTCATATTTTTTTTGTCTTGTTTGTCTTTATCTCTATGTGATGCCATCTCATCTAACGACACCTGAACAACCTTCAACTTCTACTGGATATTGTAGCAAGGGGTAAGTATGACTGAAATAAAATCATTTTTTTTGTAAAAAATGATTTTGTGATGTGTTGACAACAAAGAAGTGTCATCTAGTATATCATGAAACAGTGAAAATATTGTGTCTATTCAATTGCCATTTAATACAATTGGATATTTTATTCATGTGTGGCAGAAGATATGCAATATTGCTCCACAATATCTTTATCTATTTTGCCTAATTTCTCACATTCTGATCAAACTCTGGTGCAGAGATGTTTGCTGTATTTATACAACCAAACAATCTTATGTGTGTTATCTGGTAGTTTTTCCAAGGATGATACGATATGTTCCAACAGGATCCAGGAAATCTCGGGCATATTCTTTTACCATCTTTTTAATTGATGAATCACCCTGGTCAATTCTCTAATCACCCTGAATCATCTTGAATTTTTTTCAAAACAAGACTTAAAAATCATCATCATGTTTCTCACAATTTCTGTGTTTAATTGGACATCACCAATGCATCAAGACACGTGTTTGATTGTCATCTCGAATTGTGACATGACTAGAATTGTCCTGTCTGGTTTAAGCCCCAGGCTTTGGCCCTGGGACTGTAGGCAAGGAGGCTGGATATGATAGGATAGATTGGATTTCTGATTCTCGCTTTCGGAGAAATATGATTATTATGGAAATTGAAATGAGAAAGATTTTCTCGGTTTGATAGCAGAAGTTTTGAATTTTAATTGGGGAGGAAGTTGGCACATTGCGTTGGAGATTGGTGTTTTGTGAGTGGTCAAAAATCATTCTCCGCAGAGATATGGCATTAAGGTTCAATGTGGTATCTGGTATCTCCTAAGCTTCTGTCGTTTTTGATTTGTCTGATGTCTCTCATATTTTCTCATCTTTCCATTTCCCCGTTTAATATATTCTTTTTCAGTTTTAACAGTTATGTTCTCCTCTGTCTGTTCTCAGGTTTTCTTCATGCTCTCATTTTTCTGTTGATCTCTTTCTCCCCTTTAAAAATACTCTATGCTCTTGTGTCATTCCCATCTTATGTATTGTTATTATTTTCAAATCTGTTTATTATATTTCCATATTAACTTTTTTTGGTTTCTCCCTTTGCATTTCTTCCTCACCTTTTCAACACAGGGCTACACACCTCTTCATGTGGCAGCGATGCATAACAAAGAAGCCATCATGCAGTTCCTTGTATCCGAGTATCGTAAGTCAAACACATCGAAATCGGCATCCCTCCACATACACTGGATTCCTTAATGCTGTCTTCCACAATGCTGTATTTAATTTCTTAATCATAATAATAAGCAAATAATTACCGTTGGTGAAGGTGATGGGACAAACTAACACTTCCGAGGTGATCTGGATGTAGCTATCTTTCCGAAGCGAAGCTGAGGAAAGATCTATAGCGTATTCATTCAGATCGCTGAGGAAGTGATAGTTTGCCATCGCCTGAAACCAAAAGGTGATTATTTGCTTTATATTCCACATTGGAATCATTTCACTTCTTCCGTCATTTTAGAGCAACAAGTCACCAATTAACAGCTAGCAAACGGTGTACAATACGTACAGTGCAGTATGGTGGTCTTGGTGTGACCATAGTTCATGTGTGACCAAAGTTCGCGTACTAACACTAAAAGCGCTTACAGAGGAGAACAATATGCAGCGTATACAATTAAAGTGTGATGCACTGTGTAGATAGTACTACTATCTACCGAGTGCAACGCACTTTCACTGAAGATAGTAGTACTATCTAAACAGTGTAACAAACTTTTCTTCTCCCATCAAATCAATGATGGGCGAACTATCTTTCATCACATTTACTTTTGACCAATCGTAGAGCAAGATTCTTAGTATGTGGAATATAACAATAACTATTACAATTAACATTACTTGTATAGCACATATATCACTATTCAGTCCCTATGTGCTTTGAAGGATATGGAAAAGAGGTAGACTTAGACAATCAAAGAAAATACACTTTAAACCAGATACCAACTAAATTTTAACTTAAGGAAAACTGCAAACGAGTTTTCAGTCTATTTATTAATGAGCTGACTGCCTCTGCCTCCAGGAACACCAGGTATTTCATTCCATAAGTTCAGCTCCTGCTACTTGGAAGGGGCCGGTGAGCTCAATATGAATGTTTTAGGTACAACAAGTAGGCACCTTGACTTTGAGCATAGATTTCCAGACAGTGTATAATTTTGCACAAGGCTGGGGCTGAGTAATGTAAATAATGGAAAGTAAAAAGGATTTTTTTTCTTGCTTGTAGAGGGAGATATTTAGATTTTTCAATATGGGAGTATTACATTATTAGGTTATTCTGCCAGATTGGAATATAGTTATAATATATTTTTCTTAAATTTACTATCATATCAAATAAAATGTTTGGATGAATTAAAAATTGCATTATTAATGTATATTTTATCTAGGTACATACCTACCATCATTCTATTTAAAGAAATCAACTTTATCATCTTTACTCAATGTTCTTTTTTCTGACTAAAGTTTTTCAAAATCATTTTGTATCCTTCTAGATGCGGACATCAACAAGCGAGACTTCAGCGGTCGCAAGCCCCGTCACTACCTCCAGAGTTCGTCCTCCAACTACATCAAACGTAAGCTGCGTCTCCCCAGTGATATCATAGGCATGGAGGATGATGACCCCTTCATGGGGTCAGAGGGGGAGGGGGATCACAGGGAAGGGGAGCCCAGGTCAGGGGACGATAGTCAGGGAGGGAAGACCTTCACCAGGGTGTTTGGTCGGTTCTCGTTCCGCAGGCCGACCACGCCCAAAGTGGTCGGCCCCAGGAGGGCATCCCTGATTCCCCGGTTGGATAGCATTAGTGATTCCATGGAATAGCCCGTATATTAAACTATCCGCTTCAAACAGTAACTTTGTCAAACTTCCATAATGAAGTATGATTTCTTCCTGTTATATCAAGAAGATCTGACCTTTATCGCTTAAAAACTTCTTGACTTGTAAAGTCATACAAAGTTCAATCCCACATCCTTCAAATTTTAAGCGTATTAATCACTTTACAAAGTTTTTTCTGGAAATTATCCTTTTTCTTGTAATTAGGAGTAATGATTGAAAATAGAGACAATTCTGTTCCCAATGCTGTGTATTTTTGTGCAATAGTTGTCATGACATATTGGACAATATATCTATAAATAGTACAGATACAAAGAGTAAGCTGTATATAATATAACTTTTTTGACAAGAAAAGTCTGTTTTAATTATAGAAAATTGTTACTGTAAACATAATACTCTTGAAAAACACATTTTATCCTTTCAAGATAAATATGTAACTACTATCAAACAGTTAAGTAAGTTTATACTTATGTTATGCACAAAAAGGCACAACAGCTGAAGTTTCTTCATAATCCAGTTACAAATTGCAATTGCTAGGTCAGCAGATGTCATTGAAAAAATTTATATATTATATATATATATATATATATTCTTATTGATAATCAATAGGACTATTTTTATATATACACTTAGAAAATGAAAACCTGTTCATGATAACCACTGTCCAAACAATCACCAATGATTTTTAAACAAATACTTTCAGAGCTTTTGTATTAATACTCGATTATTCATGAAAGAATTCCTTTCTTGGATTTCTGTACCTCATATCCAACATTTAGATTTAGAACAAAACCCCAACATTTCAAAGCAATTTTCATTGCTATCCTACCATTTACATGCACTAATACACTTCTCACTGCAAACTAATTTATTAACAAAAATGTATTTTCTGGTAGTTTTATTACCCCCCTGTGTGCTTTCACTAATTGCACTTTCATTTATTTTGCATAACATTTGGCTTGTGCATGAAAATGAGTCTCTGTGTTCATTTAGTTTTTGTTAATGTTAGAGTAGGCTCTTCAAGCTCAACCAATTGTAGAATTGTTATTTTCTGTTTTATGCCTGTCATTGTGCTATTGTGCAATCTATCTTAGTTATCTAATGTGTTCTTTCTTTATTACTTTCCTACTCTGCTTTTGATACTCTCGTTTGTACATAAAGTGAGTACTTGTACAAGTACATGTAAAATTGCAAACTGAATTTTAAAAACAGGCATGTAAAAACTGAAAAACAAGAAGATGCAGATAACTCAATGGACAGATTGTCCTTTTTTGCATATGCTCTGTTTTTGTTCAGAACAAAGTTATTTTTATGTTTTGCCTTAACAAGTATGATTTGCACTGAACATTCAGTTCAATCTGCCTAAAAGTCAGCTTTCTTTTATTTTATTTTTTTAAACTAGATGTATAATCTTATTTTGCTGTGTTTCCTTGAGATTTCATGATTTCTGTGATTATTTTCTTCTGATTTTTAACAAGCTTTCTTTGTTTTACACATGTAGACTACTGGATGTACTTGTGAAAGTAGTATGGTAGTCAAAGAATCATGTCATGTCAGTTGGTAAGAACGTCATATCCACAAATATGATCAGCTGAAGGAGTAAGAAAGTGCAAAATGTAATTGTAATATGTATGAATTTGTATTGATTGTTGTGCATTGGTACTTAAAGAGCATTTCTTTTGTTCAGAACATGAAAGACATATGTTCATATCATTTTACACAGAGTTAATGCTTTTCTGGCTCAGAAGAAAAGACTTTGGGGAAACAATTCCTTTAGAATATGGCCATGTAAGTCAGTGCAATGATTTTGAAATGTAATCGTAGATGGAGTTGTTTTTTATACGATTTTTGGAAATAACTAGGCTTGACATAGCTGAATGTCAATGACAATCAAGTTCATGGTAGGATGATAATCATTTTTTTCTTCAAAAGAAGAAGAATAACTACCGGTCTTAGCCTTTTAGTTTGCCTTTTTAAAGATTAAATTATGAACAGAAAAGAGGGTTTATATTGTGCTATAAACTTGGACATGTATGTGAAACAGATTTTAAAATGTGTATTTTATAAGATATATTTAACGTACTATGATATAGTGTCATGAATAAGATATATTTAAAGTACTATATAGGTGTAGCGAGTACTTTTTTATACCTCGTCTGAATGAAAAGTACTGAAACAGTGCCATATGAAAACCAGTTATTTGTTATGCTTTATACAATTTTTTTTTTTTTTTTTTTAATCTGATAATTCTTTGGAAGAAAAATACAAACATAACTACCTGGTACAGATTCTGGGAATTTGAAGTGTAAAATGCAGATGCTACTGTTCAACTGATAAGTAGTAACTGAAAAAGAAAATTTAGCAATAGGAAAAAGTTGAAAGCTTATAATTCAAAGTAATAGTCATGCAAGTAAAAAGATACTGTAGATAAACAGATTTTTTAAATTCATGATTATCGTTTTCTTATAATACAGATGTATATTCAGGTATTATGATGAGCTGATTAAGAGTGTAATATTCAAAGTGCCATGCAAGAACGATTCATCAATTTTTATTCAGAGAAGATATTCAGCTAAAATTCAGGGGGCTAAAAAGGGGGAATACATAATTGTAGCTAGATAGTTTACCGATAGAAAAAACTTGATTGATTCAAATAGTCATTTTGAAAGGCTTATAAATCATAATGCAATATTTAGTTAATAGGATATATAGTTTAGTAATCAAATGTATATGAGTATTGTATTTTGCAATCTGAGCATGTATACTTTATTTGAGATCTTCCCTTCATGAAAACGTAATGAGAATGTCTTCCTTCAGTCGATGTGTCTTCCCTCACATATCAATTGTTACATGCGAGCTAAAGTTACCACACATAATGTACTCTTCTTTTATGATTTATCATGAGTAATATCATTCTTGAAGTTATTGTGAATGCTGTACACACATTGATCAAGTAGTAGATTTAGTTTTCACTGTTTTTGTACTAAGCTACATGTAGATTTCTAGTTTTGATGTGTATTCCTCGCTCGCTCGTTCATGTCGTGGTAGTTCATGTCAGTTTGTGTCACCGTTGTGTTACTATACCTGCCTGCTACCTGCATGCATGAAGATCGATGTGCTTGGAATGATCCGTTGTAAACCTCAGTCGCATCTGAACCAGTCTTCCGTGACCTTTAACCCGACCTCACACATCCGTTTGAATCAGCCAATCACAGACTAACGTGCCCGACTCTCTCTTAGTCTGATGAGGAACTTTTATCGTTTTCTCCCCTCGCAGTGGAGGAGGAGGAGAAGGAGGAGCAACAACAGCAAGAGCGCGAAGAGGAGAAGTTTGAGCTCGTCGAAGAGCGCCATCGCTTGACGGCACGCTTTGAACACAGCTTCTCGTACAGCCTGAGCAGGCTCAATAAGAGCAGCGTCTTCTACTTCTGAAAATGGTTTAGCTTCAATGTTTTCATTATTTGAAATACGACAAGTGTTATGCTTGAAGGGCTGAAGTAGCTAGAGAACTACACTCGTACAGCTTTTATTCCCTATGCATGGGACTAGATCATCATGAAGAATGGATGCATAGATCAAGTGCTGTAGCACTGAACAGTATTTTGTATAAGAGGGTATACAGATAATATCCGTCAAATATTTTACTAACAGATTACTGCAAACGTACGTGTACTTAATTGTAGGATAGAAATATATGTAAATATGTACATTTGTTGCATAGTAAGAAATATATAATGTGGAGGGAATTTATCTGCATCATAATTAGGTAAGGTGAAAAGGGGATAATTGTGTAAAATAAGAGTATTTTCGTCTGATGTTGTAAGGCTAGCATGGAAGTTTCTGATTTCACAGGATTTGGATAAGGTTGAGTCATGGAAAAGGTATCACTCTAATACTCTGAAACACATTGATTTGGAGCCATCAATTTATGGCTAAACTTGATGAACTTATCAAAGCTCTCTTTCTGTAACTGGCTCACAATTTTAAACTTTGTTTTGGTTTCATTTTTTGTTAAACAACATAAAAATGGCAATACTAGAGTTTAAAAGTGCAATTTTGTGAGAAAATTGCTCCCCCCCCCCCCTCCACTCTCTCATGATGTTACAGTACCAGAAGGCTGGTTTGGGTTTTTGAACACATAACACATTTCTTTTGTCCATAGTTCCTCTCCCTGTGGTTGAAAATATTGTAATTATGCCATCACTTCACACTGGGGTTAAATTTCACTGTCAGCAACATGCCCTTGATATGCCCCCCAATGACAAGACCAGAGACCCTGTTCACACTCGAATGGCAGAACGTATTAGGTGTGAAGTGCTCCGCCATTTTAACTGGATGGAGATTGGTATGAAATGATAAATTTAAAACTCCATTCCAAATTGATATTTAAAAGAAAATTACAATTGATGGTTTGTAGTTACACATCTATCAAAGTAATATTTGGTACCATTTTCATGTCAAGGTGTATGCTAGTTTCAGGATGGATAGCAGCTTTTTGGTGATTAAAGTATTTCATAGGGTGTAGTGATATTGGTAAGCTAGCAAGGCTCATGTATTTACTCCATGGTTTAAATCATGATATCAGGTATTCGATACAAAACCTGTCAAAAGCTTCGTCCACTGATATGATACACATTGTAATGAATCCTTCACATTTTTCTGGTTGAAATGTATTCTGCTGAGGGCCAGAGAGCAGTACCTCACATCCTTTACCTTATAGAGTTAAAACCCTTCTTTCTTGGCTGACAGTGGCAATGGTTACCTGACATCAGATTGTCTCCTGAAAGCCAAAAGGGCATTAACTTTCAGCAGATTGAATGCTAGCTTCCGCATAGGGAATTTACTTTATCAAGAAGCTTTCACCATATGCATACTTAAGTTATATCGAACTTGAGAGCAGATCATAGTTAACTTTTTGAAATCTGAACACCGGTCTAAGATTTATCCATCACCACCACGATCCCATCCCATCCTCCTTGGTTGGGTGTGTCCTCCAGCAGCATCAGCAGGGACCTTGAACCCTAGTTCCACTCTAGCAGAGGGGGTTGTGCACTTTCCCTTGCCCCTACCCCACCATCTGGTCCAACCATAGTCTAGAACATCTCAATCAGGGCGGAGAGAAACCTCTCGTTGTGTCTCCCAATTAACCGGAGCTGTAGCACTCCCCGATGTAACAATTGATGTCATAATTTTGTCCTTGTGTCTCCTTGCCTGATGCAGAGAACAGATCTGTGACAGAATTGAGCTGTCACTCACTCTCGGGGGTCAGCGAGGGGTCACGAGAGTTAGAAGTTTAGAAGCACGTTTTCCCCATCTGGTTAATGAAAACTTCAAAATCAGGATGTAAATTGATGACATAATCTTCATACTGATTTTGTGCCCTTTTGGTCCTCGCAGTTTAAGCCTATATTGTCAATCTGTAGTATTTATGGAGAAAGTGAAATGTTTTCCCCTCAAACTGATTTTGAATCTCATTAAGAAAATGAAAGTGCACTATGGTTGGAGGTGATGGATATTTCTTGACTTCTCTTTTCTCAATAAGTCTGTGAAGCATTTTCAGAAACATGACTTTGTTCGCCAGTACTGATGAACAAACTTGACTTAGAAAAGAGCATTTTCTGCAGGTTTTTTTTATTAAAAGAAAATTTTGAAAAAACAACAAAATCATACTATCAAGATAAATGACTGTTCACCAAAGTAATTAAAGTAATAACATTTTCAAATTGAATGAATTTTTGATATATCTGCTAGATGTTTCTGGAAAGGTATACTTCAATTTATTAGTTAACTTGAATAGTCCTTGAATCAGTTCTGCAACATCTAATTACATATACTTTTAGATTGTTAGTGATGTACACTATTCGTTTGAAATATACATGCCTATGTGTATATATCCAAGTATGTTTACATTGACAATGTGCCAATAGGTAAGACAGCATTTGTTACAGAGTTAACTTGGAGGATATGTTTTGTGGAGCGAATTATGAATTTGTAAATCAGAAATCTATTTTCACCCGTCGTTCTAGAACTTGATTTGTTATTTACATGCTGAAACAGTAAAGGAGATAATTAACCCATAGTTATACAAACACTTAGATTGTAGAAGGAACATAATATCATACATACCAACTAATGTAACTAATTTCATCTTCATACGTGTACATGTAGCTTAACACTGCTTACAACTGGAAAATAATGTCTGTTTTCATGTTTGTATATTTTTACTGAAACATTGTGGTTTTCAAATACATGTGCACCAAGCTGGAGCCAAGTATATTGTTAAAAAAAATGAAATATTGTCTCTCTTTGTGCGTTCATTAACCACTAACTTGTTTCTATTATCATATCTATGATATTGTATTGGATTCTATTGCAGTTGTGTTTTGGGGAATCTGTGTGACTGGCTATGTGGATTTCAGTTTTGATTGAAAGTTCCATACAGACTATTTGAGAGAGAACTAAAGAAAACGTCATTACCCCAAAAAAATCTGAGGTTTAGAAGACAGAAGGACTCCACTTGACCAAAAGACCAACAGGTTTTGGGAATTTGTACCTCCTGAGGGCTATAGTTAAAAGATTTCTCAAGCCTCTTCTCTTTCATGGACCTTTGTTAAACTGTTCTGTTAACCGATCGAAAAAACCATTGTAGATCGATTCTCTTCTGCTTTTAAAATGTGAAGGCAATTCACAACGCATTGATTATGTATTGATAGTAAAAGCTTGAGTTTAATAGCTGTTAATAGTTCTAATTTTTGTTTGCATTAAATTATTTTGATAAGAAGTCTAAAGCTACAATTTTGAAAAGATGCTGTGTTTGCACGTATACTTGCTGCGTAATACCATTGTTCCAGCTTACTGTCAGAAACTCTGTTTGAAATAATTGTTGTTTGTGGGATATTATTGTTGGATGTGATGAATGTGGAATACCTTAAAGCAATGGTCCTTCCAGTATATCCTTCCTTCACCCATATATAAAGGTAAGTTACCATCATATATCTTTTCCTCTCCCCATTTTTCCCTAAACCAGATTCCTAACTAACATGCATGTCTCACCCATGTATTCTTTCCATTTGAATAACACTTTTTAGTTTCACGCATTAACCTTAACCAACCACACGCGCCTCGTTCACTTGCTTTAGCTGGTAAATTTGGGCACTCTATCTCATTTTACAAGTGCACCCCCCCCCCCCCAACCATCATTGATAGATATATTTACAGATGAGCAGAGATTTAAATTCCTACACCTAATGTGTACACTGTGTTGTAGATCACATCTTTAGATGTGTCCTCATGACACAGTACACAAGTCCTGGTATAGACAATGGTTGTGTATACTACATGTATTAGGAGTTCTAGATGTAATTTATTCTTTCTTTTTTTGTTATAGTATTTATTTGATTTATTTAATTATAATTCGTAATTATATTTAATTTATTTTAATTATTAATGTGAATGGGATAATATGGGACAAAATTATCCTTTCGCATTCTCATTTGTCTAATTTTGTTTTTCTTTGCTTCTACATATTTGCCTTCTTTCAAATCACTGATAATGTATGGTATGTACAATGTCAATGAAAGGAGAGTAAATTTGATGAAATCTTGTCTTTCTCCATCTTTCAACCATTTTTTAACTTTATTTTTTACTCTCTATCTTCTCATTCTTTTAAAGAAAATGAGTTAAAATATCTTCTCTTTTTTTCCCCAACCGCTTTTCATTCTCTCACTTCTTTATAGAATGTTTTTGTTTTTATGTAATATAAGACTTTATTATGTCAATGCATTACACAGGGAAGTATTATTTTTGAAATGTACACCATTTTGTAAAACTAGATTAGACCACAGTTTATTTTCTCTCTTCCCAGTGTTAGTTACACAGTAGCTATTAAACAGCATTGCTTTTAGTTTGTTTTTTTTATCATGCATTTTGATTGATTTTTTTCTTTGGAATGTAAATTCACAATTCCCTTCATGTGGCCACTCCTTTTTAAAACTCAATTGAGAGCCGGATTTTAAGTTACATTTAGCTTTCATCTTCCATTATTGGTGCAAGAGAAGCATGAGGGCAATTCTTATTTTGGAAGTGATATTCTTTTAAAAACGAAATTATTTTGATCATATGATTTGCAAAGCAAAATTCTTTCAGGAATTCATGATTTGTTTCAAGATTCTAATGACACTGCCTAACAAGAAAAAATGCATGTGAGACGCATTTGTAAAACTTTGTATAGTTCTTTAATGCAAGAAGAATAAAACATGCTGATAACATGTATTAATCATAAATGTGCACCATGAAAAATGCCAAATTTTAGTTGCTCTTAATTATACAGTTGCCGCTTTTAAAGCCGCCTTTAGGTGATTTTTATAACCAGTGCAAATTTAAACAAAATCTGTTACACCATTTTTAGTTTTATTTGTAAATACTTGATATGTCATCTGTTTGAGGACAGAAGAGCCCTTTGGCTCATTGTATAATGATGACTTAAAACTATGTTTTCTTTTCTATTTTTATTACAAATCTTCCAATTTTAGAATATGAATTATTTTCTGGGACATGCAGATTATAATTTTGGGAGATGCATAAATGATTATGTACCAGATCATATAAGAATTCACAAATATCTTTATTTTTTAATTAATTTATTTACCAGTACATATCGTGTCAATTTTATTGACATGTGTTAAACTCCTCAATGGTAATCATGAAAAACTTATTTCTTTTCTTTATTTACAGAAATGATGCTTGGACAGTCGACAGGTAAAGCATGGTAGTTTAGGGGTGGGGTGAATGTGGGGAATGAATCAATATTAAAATTGATTAAAACTGAAGATGAGTAAACATATTTGCACAAGTATGTGGTCCATGTCAATGAAAGTGGATGATTTTTATTTTAATGTGAATTTAGAAATCTATATACCAGCTGTATATTATAGTGAAAAAGATAAATGCATATAAATTATATTAATGATTTATATGGTTGTTTGCCTTACAGGCCTTTCACTCATCCATGTACTCTTGAACTAATTTTGTTGTGAAGAAGAAAATGACCTTCTGACCTTCTGACCTTCTGACCTTACATGTATAATTAGCTAAATTCATTGTTGTAGAGCTCAGAGGGATAATGAAAACATAAATGAATTGTATTAGCATATTGAAAGATGTACACTGAAGTTGAATTGTGGGTGGATAATTGATACAATTAGATGGGGAAGTATATTAAAATTGCTCGGATGGTAGACAGATCAAAAATTTAAAATATGATTTAAAATTCACACGTACATGTGTATCTTACATGGAAGTGGAGAACATATTCCCTTTTTGCCCATAAAGGTACAGTGTGTTGACCCATTATTAAATAGTGAGCCTGTCATTTCTCCAACCTGGATCCCTTGTAGAGAAGATTCTCAAATATTCATTCTTTATTTGATGGAAATATTGATGCAGTTGAACACAGAGTTAATACCCTGCCTGTGGGCTCTAATGCAAGGAAAACAATGCTTTATCTCATAATAACACAATAGACAGAAATATTTAAAACTTCAATTTTTTTTGCACATTTTCACCGAACAAAATGAATCATGGATACATGTACAGTTAAACCTGCTTTTTGACTACCTGTCTGCAAAGACCACATATGTTGTTTCCCGTGAAAATGGTTTCACATTGGAACATGTACTAAAGGAACCCGTCTACGAAGACCACCTGTCTGCAAAGACCACTTTTTGTGTTTCCCTTGGGTGGTCCTTCTAGACAGGTTTGACTGTACATTGATTTTTGAGCAGTGCTTCTACCAGCACTGCTTGCTCTAAGTATACTAATTTTGAAATTGAACGTCTTCTTTCGATACAGCGGAAGTGATCCAACCCCACGTCCTGATGTCACTGGCTGAACCCAAGCAAGAAGAGAAGCGCCACTCCAAGATCGGCTCCCTCCTGCGCTCTTCCTTCAGACATTCCTTCCGTATCTGGGGATCGGCAGAGAACCTGGAGGACAAGAACCACAAGAGGGACAGGACGCCCCCGGTGACCCCGCCCCCTTCCCCCAAGAACAGACCAAAGACTAGTCACTCAGTAAACCACAGCCAGTCATTGGTAAATAATTACTTTTATTATCATTAATTATATAATATTGGATGGCTTTGAGTTTGATACAAGAATATATTGCTCAAGCTATGAAGAAGAGTCCAATATCATCATAACTAGAGCAAAATATTCTTGTATCACACAAAAACAAAGCCATGTAATATTATTATTAATATTATCTATATCAGGCTGACTAGGGAAATGACAAAATTTGACTAACCTTGGTAAATATGGCTTTTATGGATACGGTAGTTGAAGTTCCTGGATGACTGAGCAATACGAAAACAATATTGGTCAGTCATCTGGGTACTGCGCTAAAGATATTGAATACACTGATTTACTGTACCACTTAGAAGCCTTATATAAATAATAATAAATGTAGTCACTCACGGTAGCTTTTTATTGGAAGGTTATATGCAGATGGGTATCTGGATGGGTCAGTTTTCCAGACAGATCTAAAACTGTGAAGCCCCAGTCACATAGTCCTGGATCACCAACTGGTTGTGGACTCCCAGAGAAATCTAGCAACGGTTGATCCTTGAGTTTCAAATAGAGATCAATTTTTTCCCGGTCTCTTTACGGTGGCACTAAGGACCTCCGTCTTTCTTTGGCCCCTAATATTCTTAGCGAGGAAAAGAGAGAAAAGTCTTGATGGTTAGAGGATAGAGTCAATGCAATGGAGAGGGGTAAAACACATTAAGGCTAAAGTAGGTAATCAAGATCCATCCTTGTTGTAAGCCGTAGTACAACTGTCTCACCAACCCAGTGCTTCCCTCATGATCGTGGGCAGAAAATACTTCAAGGAATTGGTAAAGATAAAAAATATCAGTGTCTTGCAAAGTTTGGATGATGGTGACCACAATTCCATCCCCTTCGAAGACCGAGGGGGGGGGGGCTGTCGTGCATTCTCAACCATGTAAAACCCCAATTGGGAAAGCATTAGAGAAAAGGAAGGTTGGGCTAGGGTAATATCCAGGAAATTGTAGCACAACCACAGAACAGTTGAAAACTTTTCTGGAGTTTGACTGAACCCCGGGACGTATCACTATGAATATGACTGACAAAGAAAGCGGACAAAATATACAGTTCCTCAGGTAGACAAAGGAACATCTCTTCTCTGCTATTATGTAAAAATGTGTCTCATGCATATTCACCTGTTCTACACATTTTTACATAATAGCAGTGAAGGGATGTTCCTTTGTCTACCTGAGGAACTGTATATTTTGTCCGCTTTCTTTGTCCGTCATGTTCATAGTGTATACCCCTCATCCGTATTATTATCCGTACTTATTAAAGTCATCAAGAATACATGTGTTTACTCAAGGTATATGAATTTGAGAGAGCCGTAACCCTGAGATAAGTTCATTCAGTGCAGTGCCTCATGTTTTAAGCCCCTCTGCACTAGTTTGGCCATGAGGGATTAGACCTCCCTGCATGGTCACTGACAGGTGGTTATCTCATCAAATCAGCTTTCAATTATTAAACACAGGGGGATCATGGGGGACCAATGGTCGCCGCTTAGGCATTGTTTTCTATATAGAGGGCACAAGTAGCTATAAGTAGTGTAATGGGGCTTTAATATCAACTGTGTTTTTGCTTCACCTATTACCTCATCTATTACTGTGAAAGTATCATTTGTATCTGCCTTTTATTTTCTCAGTTGATGCCCCCTCCCTCAGGTTACACTGTACCAAACAGAGGTCGAAAATTGAGGAGTACAGATAAAGACAGGTAATGAACTTTTTGTTTAGAGCTAAAAGATGGAACATATTAATCAGGACACCATTTATTCTTTAATAGAATTAAAGATACATTTTAAACTTAATGAAAATGAATACTCTACCAACATCTATTTAACCACTTGACTGCTAGATGCTATTTTCACAATGTACCACTATGTGCTAAGGCATTTTGGGACACACAGAAATCTGAACATACAACTCACATCTCCAATTATTTTTGTGTGGAAGAGCGCCATCTACTGTTTGTATTCTAAAGTTTGATATTCAGGTGCTAATGGCATCATAGGGATAGGTGTAGGGCCGTGCTAACAATTTGAATTTGGAAAGGCGTAGAACATCTGCATGCAGGTAATAGTTGTTTAGCAGTCAAGTGGTTAATAAGATCAAGTATTGAACTTTTACGCTTGGATGGGCACATTCATTTTTCCGTTAGAAGGTCTGATTAAGAATAGAGCAGGTAGCCATTCAAATGTTGAAGGGCAATCCAACTCTTGTAATAAGTTGATTTGTATGAAAGCAGAAAAATAACAGAAACAGAATGGCAAAAGCTTGAATTGAATCGGACCAATAGTAAGGAAGTTATGAATGTTTGAAATAGGAGATCACTAAGTCTATGCAAATCTCAAATTGGTTGTTAGGTCAATGGATTGTGATGTTGGACTTGGATAGCTCTCCCATTTGCCATGTGCAAAAGTATCATTAATTTCTGTTTTTTCTTGTAAGTTTCTTCTCCCTTGGGGCACTGCTCAAAATATATTATAGATAGCATGTTATTATATATATATATAGGTCCTCTAAAAAGAATAGACCCTTCTGAGCAATGAACTTTTATATGTTGGAACAGATGGGAAAGTAGTCCGGCAGTACATCACATTGACATTACCGCTTCAACCAATTTGAAGTGCCCATAGGTATAGCGATTACAAATTTCAAAAATTCACAACTTTCTTATATTTAGTTAGATTTAATTGAAAGTTAAATCAGTTTGCTTCTCTGATTTTTCTGCTTTCTTTTAGAGTAGTTGTCTATTTGGGTTGGATCTCCCTTTAATTAACATGCGTATCTGTAAGCTGTTCTTGTTTAACATTGGAAATAATGATGGTAATGCTCATTAACACACCCCATTTTAGTTTCTTATTAAATCAGAGACTATTCATTGATATAATGGCTATGGTCACTCAGTGTCCATGAATGGTACGATTCCAAGTGCTCATCATCTTAAAGAGGACTAATTTATGTTTATTACTATTGAGTAATATGGTCATGACTGTAATGTTTTAACATTTGTTTGATTTTCTTTTGATAGAACTGAAAACATGCGAAAGAGCGAATCCAATCCTGATATGATCGTAGAGACCACACCTACGACATTCGTCTGAACCCGTAACCATGGCAACCAAGATCAGCAAGGAGCCTTTAGTTCAACTACCAATAGCGAGGCTGAAACATGATGTTTATTTTAGCATAGAGGACACATATATTTATATCTATATTTTCTTAAAGAAAAGATCGAGTTCTGGAATAGGTGGAAAATAATTTATTAGCTTTATCATTCTTTTTCAGTTCCATCTGCTAGAAAATGCTTGTAGCATAGACACTTGTAAAGGAATATATCACTTTTTCCAAATACATGTATATCAATCAGCGTGTTTCTATTATTTATACCAGGCCTGATAAAAACCCGATTTGAATCGGTTTCCCGATTTTTTTTATTTTTCCCCGATTTTTTTTCTTCTTCCCGATTTTTTTTACCAATTTTTTTTTCTTCCATATTTTATCATGATTTTCCCGATTCCCCTTATTTTATTTTTTTGCCCTATTTTTCCCCCAATTTTCTTACTCGGAAGGGGGGATGTTGTTAGAAGCCATTTTTTCCCAGTGAATCCTCTTCTTTTTTTTTACTCAAGGGGGGGGGGGGGGGGGGCGTGGTTGACGGGGAAACAAGAAACCTATTTTTTTTTAGTGCTCACTATCACCCCTGTTTATACTGAAATTGTCTGGTTAATTTGTTTTCCAGAAAATAGTGTGTAACACCAGGGAATGGGCAGTTTCTATCTACGTGTATTATCCAGATAAATACACTGCTCCGATTTAGCTGGTTAAAAGGTTGTGAATAAAAGTTCATCCCTTATATTTTGAATTTTTTATTTATTTCATATTTGTATAGACATTCCACATATGCCCAGTATATGAGATGTTTAAGAGGACAGTTAACCGGGTAGGTCATTTAATGTGTGGATATTGTTACATTGAATAACTATGCAAATGAGGAACATTATTTATATGATATTACTTGTCACATTTTTTTCTATATATATATATATATATATATATATCCCAAAAAAATTTTTGTTCTTGACGACAATAATCATCATACCCAATACCCATATGTAATTTAAAAAGCTGTTGCTTTTTAGGAATTGTTGATGGGAGACATACAGTGAAAGTTGAGTTTTGGTAAAGAGGGCGCTACACAAAATAATGTTTTTGTGAGATGCGCCATATGTTTTTGGGGTGGCTTTTCTGTGTTGGTTATAATATGCACAACCAGATGGGCCCCCATTATTTTATGGTCACAATTACCGTCATAGCAAATTTAGGTCGTAAAAGGACACTAGAAATGTCATAAATAAGAATAAGAGCAATAACCACGCACTTTGAGGTATATCAAGTACCCAATGTTCAGGACGAAAAATAAATGATATTTATAAGTTTTTATTTCAATCCATAGCAATTTTCTCTCAAAATATGATTCCCATAGCAGAGCTTAAGATTAGCTTTAAGAGATAAGCAGAAATAAATCAAACACAATTCTTTGTACATTGTCAGATTATATAGAAATTTATTGTTGGTTATAATATGCACAACCAGCCAGGCCCATGTATTGTTATTTTATGGTCATAATTACCTTCATAGCAAATTTAGGTCCGTAAACGGACACTAGAAATGTCACAAATAAGAATAAGAGCAATAACTACGCACTTTGAGGTATATAAAATAACTAATAATTACATAAGTTTTTATTTTACTGGTTGCAGGTTCCATAGCAATTTTCTCTCAAAATATGATTCCCATAAACAGAGCTCAAGTATAGCTTGAAGTCATTTATATAAGCAGAAATAAATCAACACAAATCCTTTGTACATTAAATGCTTGTCATATTATATAGAAATTTCGTATTAAATGATCAATAAATATATGCTTTAAAAAAAAATGCGAGTTTATAATCTCTCTATATCATACTAGCGTTGGAAAAAGAAGATTGGAACATGCATATAAGCCATTTCGTAATATAACCAAATTGAATACATATAAGTCTTTGTGAAGTGCATCAATACAAATCATTTCATTCACCTGATAAGAATAATAGTATACCAATAGTCAGAATGCTAAGTGTTGCTAGGTAGGTCAAGCCATATGTTTGTCGTACCTGGCAACAACTAATGTATGCAGTTCGGATTCTGTCTTTTGAAATACTATTATTCTTATCAGGTGAATGAAATAATTACGTACTAAATTTGGTTACTATGAAAATGGCCTGTTGAAGAATAAATCCATTGTGTAAAAATATACAAAAAGGCCTGCCAGATTATAAAAAAACACAGGGTGCAAACGGTTGCGCTAACCTTGATGGCAAACTACTGTAGAGGAAACGCAGCAGTCTGATAAAAGAAAGTTATATTCCCTATGGTTAGTGGCTCTTTTTTTTATAATAATTATTTTAGAGTTACCAGTAATGAACATCTATACAAAATTCACTATCGGCTTTGAATGTGTTTATTTTACTGGTTTAGACTATGCCCAGAACTAATGGTCTTAAATTTACAACAAAATGAATAATATTGTAGCAGTATTGCTGAGGCGATTGAATACTATAACTTATGCTTGCTTGTAATAAAATATATACACATCAATTCCCTCCAGAAGGGATCTCTACCTCAGAAAAAGATGCACCACCTACTTGTCATAATACAAAAAAATTGAAAATCTGATCTTCTGTACCAAATAATCTGGTAGTATGCTGAGAAGAACAAGAAAAACAATGATGTATGAACATGCAATATTCCATATTGAGCAAAGCGAGTTATAATTAATTTTTGTACACAAGAAAATTATCTGCCACTTTCCAAAATGTGTACATAATCCTTTGGAGTTTGCTAGTGCACTCTTCTCTCTACTCATAAAAAGCACTTTGTAAATCGGTCAAAATCAGTTTGAATAAAAATCAGGAACATGTGTAAGGTAAACAAAGCTCTATCACTCCAGTAACAAATATCTACAATTTCGTGTAAATTCTAGACCGTTACAAAGTACTTCCTATCAGTAGAAACTTCAAAGGTAGTTGGCAAGACAATTCATGTGGCTTTTATACTTTTATGTCTAAGAGAATTGAGAAAGGAACAGACTTAAATATCAATGAGAAGAAATTGATTGTAACATCTCACCTGAGTATTTGAAGACACGATCCCCACTTCACCACTATGACCTTGTTGAAGTTGAAGGTTAAAGGTTGTTGTCATGGTTTGATGCACACCGGTAGGAAGAACACCTAGAATGGCAACAAATAAAAAAGAAATGTATAGAAATTTTATTTGTATGACTATCATATAAGTCAGACAACGGATCCACTGTCACCTTTTCAACATACTAGATAGGATAATAATAACAATAAGGCGCCAAATCCACTAGTTTAAAACATGTACAGTTTGTACAAAACTACAATATAACACAAAGTGAAAAAAAATCAGATCAACTAAAAGCTTTGTATTAGATTTGGAAGGACAAGCAATCCAGAGTTTTGATAATGTAAAGATCTGGCAGGTGTGTAGTGATTAATCAAAGAAATATTGTATTGTGGATCAGAGCCATGAACACAATGAAACAGCAAAAGAAGTTTGAAAAGAATACGTTCTTTTATGGGTAACCGGTATGATATGACTGTTTGTTGGCGAAGGTAACAACACGAGCAGTAGCATTCTGCAATTTTTATAATTTGGCAAGCCGATTATGAGTCAGGTTGAACAAGAGAGCATTTCCAAAATCAGGATATGAGAGAAAAACTGAGGGCTGCCCAAATAAAAAAAATGTACAGATTACATAATTCATTTTATTAAAAGTGGCTACAGATTGAGTCAGGGGGAAAATGGCATTGATCCCCAACTCACCAGGGAAAGATAAGAGAATGTGTTTTGTATCAGATACTCTCATCCCACTAGTCATTTACTTGGGCGCCACGGATTTTGTCAACTGGTGCTCGGACCTCGGCGGTGGCTGCAGGTATCGGTATTGGTATGTCGGCGACGATTAGTCGAACTGGCGGTTGGTCGGTGTCTGGTCGAGGTTGGTCGGGGGAGGCTGACATGTGCCTGCCTGGTCCCTGCGTTTGGAGTCTCTCTGTAAAGTAAAATTTCTTATTCAATGAAACTTGTACCCAAAGGTTATCAAGTATCTCAAATTATATGACACAAATTCCAGGTCACGAATTCAAGGTCAAAGGTCATTTCAGGTCAGTAAACTTGAATTATGTTTTTTACAACTTAATATGAGAATTAATAAATTAATTTTTGTTATTTCTTCATATTTCATGAAAGTTATCAATCTTGCTACAAATAATAGTAAATAGTTCTTCTGATGATTCTTGGTTAATAGTCACTTCAAAATGCTGATTTTATTTAGAGAATTTCATATTTTGGGGCCTGCTAAGGGGCCACCCTGCCTATAAATAATGTCCAAACCTCAATTTTTCATTATATCGAATTGCGTAATGCAGGCGAGACCGACGAGAGCGTTTCCCTTGTTGTTTAGAGACAGAGAGATGTAATGTGTATGTTAACCATTTTTCATTTCAACAAATAAATGCAAGTTATAGTTACTTACTCAGCGATAGTATCTTGGCTTTATGATAGCAGCGCTTGTACGTGACCTGCACCTCCATTCCAGCTAGCTGCAAGATCTCCGGAGCGCTTCACTCTACTACGGGCTACGGTCTCCTTCACCACTTGTTGACGAGCCACTCGATAGATGCAGCAGACATGGTCTATGATTCTTTGATGGTTGTTCTGTAACAGCAGTATGCACTTGGTACGATGCAAAATGATAGATAGATTCTTTTATTGATCCATATTCAAAACATAGAAAAGTGGCCTCCACTGGCAGCACATAAACAAAATACAATGCAGTTACAAGATAAATGATAAACACTTGGGTGTATACGTCACAATGTACATAAATTCACACCAGAGTCATGACATTAAAAAAAGCATAAATATAAATTACGTAATAATAGGGAGAACCTAAGAGGGGAGTCATCATTTAAAGATTGATAATAGCGAAAGAGGACGAAAGAAGACTAGATTGAAGAGCGAAATAGTAAGAAGAGAGAGAGAGAGAGAGAGAGAGAGAGGGTGGGGAGAGAGGTGGGGAGAGAGAGAAAGAGAGAGAGAGAGAGAGAGAGGGAGAAAGATAGGAACGAAAAGTGGACACGGTGGAGGAGGGGAAAGGAGAGGATACAAAATAGAGTGAGAAGGCCCACGGGGGCTCCTTTTCGTTTTGGAAGAGCCCCCGTGGACAAAAAAATAATAATTTGAGCCCTGGTTAATGAGGTAAATATTCCTTTTGGCTGTGATACAAGAACTTTCAAATCAATAAAATAAACAAACAGATAAGCCTATGAACACATGTTCAGGCATTTACTCAATTACCTTTTAC